CCCCCACCTGGCTCCAGCCTCCTGTCAGGGAGCTGTGGAGAGCCAGAAGGTCTCCCCTGAGCCTCCTTTTCTCCAGGCTCAGCATCCCCAGATCCCTCAGCTGCTCCTCACAAGCCAAGTTCCCCAGACCCCTCCCCAGCTTTGTTGCCCTTCTCTGGACCTGCTGCAGCCCCTCAAGGTCTTTCTTATCCTGTGGTGCCCAAAACTGACCCCAGTGCTCAAGCTGTGGCCTCCCCAGTGCCCAGTCCAGGGGCACAATCCCTGCCCTGCTGCAGATGGTTGCACTATTTTGGGCCAGTGTGAAATGGAGGAGGAATTTTGAAGAACTTTTGTTTCTCATGTGGCATTTGAAGAAGATGTTTATGAAACAGGCTGCCCAGGGCAGTGGTAGAGTCCCCATCTCTGGAGGGGTTTCCAAGCTGTGGAGATGTGGTGCTGAGGGACATGGGTCAGTGGGGACCTGGCAGTGCTGGAGGAACAGTTGGACTTGATGCTTGTAAAGGTCTCTTCCAACCAACACGATTGGATGACTCCATGAAAGCCACACCTTTTAGGGTTGTTAATTGAGGTCTCAGGGTTTCAATCTACTCATTCAAGCACAGGTGTCTGTGTGCTCTCACTCCTAACAGTTTTTTTTTGTGGCTTTCTTATGTGGGGGAGGGGTGGATAAAGTGTTTGATTTACCCCTGAAAGGAGCAAAGGAGGGGGGTTTAGGGAGCAGAGGAGGGGGGGTTTAACCCCTCCAGAGAGATTTTCTTACTGAAGTGTTTTTTTTCTTGCCCAGGTTACGTACAAGTGGCTGAGCTACACTCTGGGAGTTCATGTCAACCAGGCTAAACAGTAGGTATCAGGGCAGCCCACAACCTTTGGGCTTGTGGCAAAGCTTCATTAATTCCTGTTTAAATTGCTGTGTTTAGTGTGTTATAAGGAGCTCTCTGGAAATATTTCAAGTTCCTGCACTGCAGGTACAGCAATTGAAGGCATTTAATGCTCTTTACTCACCCTTTCTCTAAGCAGGGCTTGCCTTGGTTTTGGGATTGCTAAGCTGGGCACCTTCTGCTGCTTGAGATCCTAAATATTTCTGTTAGAATAGGCGTTTTAGTGTTATAATACTGCCAAAATGTTTGTAGCCCCTTTCATCCTGCCATGGTGTGGTGGCTTGACCCTGGTTGGATGCCAGGTGCCCACCAAAGCTGCTCTATCAGTCCCCTCTTCAGCTGGACAAGGGGCAGAAAAGACAATGAAAGTCTTGTTGGTCAAGGTAGGGGCTGGGAGAGATCCCTCAGCAGTTGCCATCATGGGCCAAACAGCCTTGAGTTGGGGGAAAGTGAATTTATTGCCAATCAAATGGGAGTACAATAATGAGAAATAAAACTAAATGTTAAAAGTGCTTTCCCTTAACTCCTCCCTTCTTCCCAGGCTTCATCTGACTCCTGAATTCTCTGCCTTCTCCCTGCCAGCAGTGCAGGGAGACAGTGAATGGGGCTTGTGGTCACTGATCTGACATTGTCTCTGCTGCTTCTTCCTCCTCACACTCTTCTACTCCTCCAATGAGAATCCTTCCCTTGGGCTTCATTTCCTCATGAACTCCTCCAGCATGGGTCGCTTCCATGGGATGCAGTCCAGAATGAATTGCTTCACCCTGGGTCCTCCTTGGCTTACAAGTCACAGTCACACAGGATCCCAGCATGGTGGGGCTGGAAGGGACCTCTAGAGATCATCTTCCCCAGCCCCCCTGCTCCAGCAGCGCACCCAAAGCAGGGTGCCCAGGGTCACATCCAGGTGGGTTTGGAATCTCTCCAGAGCAGGAGACTCCACAGCCTCTCTGGGCAGCCTGCTCCAGGCTCGGCCACCCTCACACCAAAGAAGTTTCTCCTCCTGCTCAGGTGGAACCTCCTGGGTTCCAGTTGGTGCCCGTTGCCCCTTGTCCTGTCACTGGGCACCACTGACAAGAGTCTGGCCCCAGCCTCTTGCCCCCTGGGGCCCTTTAGCTCTTGCTCAGCATTGATCAGATCCCCTCTGAGGCTTCTCTTCTGCAGCTCAGCAGCCCCAGGGCTCTCAGCCTTTTGTTGTCACGGAGGCCAAAACCTTGCCACACACACCCAGTGCACCCAGTTCAGGCTGTGGTACATTATCTGTGGATGCTGCTGAGAGAAGAGTCAGGAAAATGCAAAGCCTCTGTGATGGGAACTGCAGCTTGTGTATGGCTGGTGCTCTTCTTTTCTGATCACCCTCCTGCACAGTGTGTGACCCCTTATAAATACCTACTTCCCAGGCTTGGTGTGCTCAACGAGATGTTTGAAGGCTGAGGAACCAGCTGTGCTGTCCAAACACTTTTGCTTCTCCAAATGTGTAACCTCATCTCGGTGTATTTTGAGGAATAAAAATGATTATAACCTTTAAAATAGCCTCTACACCAACAGCTGAGCTCTCCAGGATTGCAAGGCTGTTGTTACACAGAGGTAAAGGTTTGGAGGCTCCATAAGAGTGTCAAATCCCATAATCCAAATATTACCTTGTTTCTGGCTAACTTGGACCTAAAGGGGCTTCTGCTTCATCCTCAACCACAGTGTACTGAGCCCAGCTTTACCTGCCTTGACCAAACTGCTAGAATGTCAACTCCTGCATCTAACATTATGTTTGGTCTCTCTCCTCTGCATGTATGAACAATTTAGGTGATGGGTAGACCTGAGTGTGCTTCAGTGATGGTTGTAGGCCTGACTGGAGACTTCTACTGGGGCCAGTTTGGGTCATTCAGTGAACTAGAAGGAACCAGAGAACATTTTGCTGTGAAGATGGTGGCCCAGGTGAAGTGGAGGCACCTTCTCATACCCTTGAAAGCAACCTGGAGATGGAGAGAGAACTCCTGTGGCATCTTTGTGCTTAAAGCTCTCTCCTAGAAGCTGCAGAAGTGCCTGATAATGCAAGTGAATTCCTCTGGTGGTTGTGCTGGCTGTGGCAGCGTGGTCATTGCAGCCTGGCTCTGTCACAGTGAGGATCCTCAAGTATTTTTGGCAGATGCCATCCTCGTGGGGTGTGGGGTTGTGTCTCTGCCTGGTTACATGGGACTTGCATCATAAATCAGTGGTATAAGCAGGAGCTATGAGTCTCAGCTCAGTGTCCGCATCACTAATCCAGCTCTTTCCTCCTGTTCCTGATCACCATGGCATTGGATGCAACTGGGATTGTTTATAGACACCTGGCCATGTGATTATGCACCAAAAACAACCAGTTCCTCTGCCAAGTGCTTCAGAATGCTGGGCTACAACAGCCTTTCTCCAGGGGGACACTTGGGACTAAGCTGCCCAGAAGAAGCGAGACCATCAGAACCAACTGTTAAAGCTTTGAGAGCTTGTGTTCCTTTCCTTTTTGGTTTGTAGAGTTGTTGGAGAGTCTCCAAAGTGGCAGAGGAGGAAGGTTCCTCAGTAAGATTCATGTAAACCTGGTTAAAACAACTGCACTTCTGTGAAATGTTTCAATGTCGGGGTGGCTTTACTCTGGTTTTTGTGGAAGCTTCACGGAAGGGGTGGTGACAGGCTCTTCCTTTTGAGGTGATGAACTCTGGCTTCTTTTGCACAGGATGCTCTATGATTACGTGGAGAGGAAACGAAAGGAGAACTCAGGAGCTCAGCTTCATGTCACCTACTTGGTAGCAGGAAACCTTGTCCAGAATGGACACATGGTGAGTGTTTAGTTTCTCCGAGGTGTCTGGGAGCAGTTTGTTCTTGGGTCTTCTGTCTTCTTCTGTCATCTTGAGGTCAAAAGCAGGATTTGTTTCCTTTCTCCAGGAACAGGCACGGCCTGCTGAGTCTTCTGTACAAAATAAAGCCCCATCTCTGACCCAGCATAGAAATGATGGGGAGGAAAGATCAGTTGGTTGTGATTTGGAAATACAGTGCTGAAAAATGTACCGGTGGTTTTATTTAACATAAATCCTGGTACCAGTTACTTCTTGATTTTATTGCTGCTATTGGAGAGCAAAGATAATAAAATAGCCTGGAGAGGCCATTATGAGCTCAGCTAATCCATTCCTGGTATCTGCTGTGGGGTGGAAGTGGGCAAAGCAGTGTTTGGAGAGAGCTTGAATTTAGTTAGAATAGAGTGAGAAATAATACGTGGCATAGAAAATAAATAGTTGAAGTTGTCTTGTTAAATGACAGAGGTGGCCAAGAAGGCCACCACTATCCTAGCCTGGATGAGCACTAGTGTGGCCAGCAGAAGCAGGGCAGGGATTGTGCCCCTGGACTGGGCACTGGGGAGGCCACAGCTTGAGCACTGGGGTCAGTTTTGGGCACCACAGGATGAGAAAGACCTTGAGGGGCAGGAGCGGGTCCAGAGAAGGGCAACAAAGATGGGGAGGGGTCTGGGGAACTTGGCTTGTGAGGAGCAGCTGAGGGACCTGGAGGTGTTGAGCCTGGAGCAAAGGAAGCTGAGGGGAGACCTTCTGGCTCTCCACAGCTCCCTGACAGGAGGCTGGAGCCAGGTGGGGGTCGGGCTCTTCTCCCAAGGAAGAAGGGACAGGATGAGATGCACTGGGCTGAAGTTGCCCCAGGGGAGGTTTTGATTGGACCTGAGGCAGAATTTCTTTCCTGGCAGAGTGGTGAGGCCTTGGCCCAGGCTGCCCAGGGAGGTGCTGGAGTCCCCGGCCCTGGAGGGATTCCAAAAGTGTGTGGATGTGGCGCTTGGGGACGTGGTTTAGTGGTCATGGGAGTGTTGGATCAACGGTTGGACTTGCTGATCTTAGAGGCCTTTTCCAACTTTCATGATTCTATAAATAAAGCAACATTTTTATCCAGTTACACAAGAGAAACATGAATTTATTAATAGTATTTAGTACTTATAATACTTGGACGTATTAAGCAAAGGAATCACTATTTCATAGATTTTTTTTCTTCTCCTTGCTGCTTGTCAGGTTTTAAAGGATGTCAACTAGAATTTTGGACATGGCCACAGGGGTTTTTGAAAGAGGGTGACAAACTGGGGGCCTGTTGCCCTGGGCATCTGTTCATATCTTTAGGTACCCAAGTATGTCTTACCAGCTTTCGCTTGGGATTGGTACATCTCAGGTTGTCCTGGGTTTTGTTTGTAGACTGGAAAAAAAACCAGAACCCCAAGAAAGCTTTTTTTATTTTCCTAAATAATAAAGTGATCCACGTGCACAGAATATCCTCTTTAAGCCTCCAAATCTGCCTGAAACTGGAGGTTATTATTGCATTAGTTGTGAATAATGAAATATATTTCCTTGAAGCTGTGCAGATAATATCATATTTATAGCTTGAATTTAACAGGTTTTCCTCCAGTTTCTTTAGGAAACAATAAGACAGCATCTCTTGGCTCACTAGAACTGGCCAGAGTTTGGCAACACGTAATTTGCCATAAACTGCTTAAAACAAACAGCTTAGTTCTGGTATAGGAACAAATAATTATTTTTTTAACTCGTTGGGCAACTTGTATATTTTTAAACAAGACCTACCAAAGCAAACATAAAAAGGTCAGTTTTTACTTCTTGTTTTTATAGTAAGTATCTTATTTTTAAGAAGTGCCTGCTATAGGAGGGTGACCTGCAAGTGCAGGAAGTTGATAGGGGCAGAGATGACCTTGACAGGTCACTTCTAACCAAAAGATTATCTGATCCCATGAAGCATTGCCAGGGTTGGAATACCACACAGGATGAGGTTAAAGCCCTTCAGGGTGGGAGAAGAGGACAGGGCTGGAAGGTGCTTGCAGAGGACTTGAAGGTATTGGGGAAGCTGGTGGTTGATGCCTGGGACAAGCCAGTTTTGGATGAGAACGGGATGTGGAGCTTCAGAGCTGGCCTTGCACTACTCCCTGCTGTCAGTAGGTGTAGCCCCAGAGCTGGGGATTTAGCAGCAAGACTCTTCTGAAGGGACCTGGGGTAGAAAACAGTCCCAAATAATTCTCATAATGTCTTAAGCCCTGCACGCTCCTTAGTTGCTGCTTTTGATTGGCCTCAGAAAGGACCAGGACTCAGAGATTTGTTGGCCATTCCAGGTTGCCTACATGGTCCTGCTCTTCTGCTGGCTGCTCTGTGGTCCCAGTTAAACACAGAACTAATGGCTGGGCTTCATCCACTTTGTCTGTTTGGGTGTTCCTTGTAGTAACTGCAGCCTGTTAAACGTTGCAGAGCAGGTAAAGTCCTCAAATCACAGAATTGGAGAGTGGGTTGGGTGGGAAGGGACCTTCAAAGGTCATCCAGTCCAACCCCCCTGCAGGGAGCAGGGACATCTGCAACTAGAGCAGGTTGCTCAGAGCCCCGGCCAACCTCCCCTGGAATGGTTCCAGGGATGGGGCAGCGACCACCTCTCGGGGCAACCTGGGCCAGGGGCTCACCACCCTCAGTGCCAAACATTTCTCCCTTCTCTCCAGTCTCCATCTCCCTCTTTGAGTTTCAAACCATCCCTCCTTGTCCTGTCCCAACAGGCCCTGCTCAAAAGTCTCTCCCCAGCTTTTGAGAGGCCCCTGGAAGTCCTGGCAGGCCCCCAGAAGGTCTCCCCAGCTGGAGCCTTCTCTGCAGGCTGGCCAAGACCAACCCTCTCCTGCGTGGCCCCCCCTTGGCTCATTGCTGGGGCTCCTCTGGCCCCGCTCCAGTAGGTCCCTGTCTCTGCTGTGCTGAGGACTCCAGAGCTGCCCCAGCACTCCAAAGACTGCATGTAGAGCACATTTCCAGAAACATTCATTTCTGCCTTTCCAATGAATGTTTCATTTCTCATGGTGTTTTCCTTCCTTGGTGCCATGTGTATGTTCTTATGTTAGGTTACTGGCAATCTAAATATTCCTGGGTGACGTTGGCTGGCACGGCAGATCTCTGGCAGTTGGGTCATCAGCTGCACAAGGTTGTTTCTCTCCACTGTGCTTAGTTCTTGTTTCACCTGTGTCTCGTCTCATAGCATCAGGAGTGGAGGACAGAAGATGTCTGTGGGGTTGTGGTAATCTGTGGAACAGCCCTTTAGAAAAGCAGGGAGACAGACCTTTAAAAAAGTGACTGTTTAAAGACATTGGCAGAGTTCCTTGCTTTAGAGCTGCAGCCATCATCTGGAGACTCTCTTCTTCAACAGATGACTGCAAATAGCAGTTCTGTGTACAGCAGAGATTTAAAGACGTTAAGATTGCCCTTTATTTCTTTGTTGCAGTGCCACAAGGTTGCAGTAGTGAGAGAGGATAAACTGGAAGGTAAGCAGATGGGGAGAATGACGTGGGGTTGCCTTTTTCCTTTGTAAGAACAGCAAATTGAGTAGAGCTCTGAACGTGCCATCCGCACGTAAATGCCGACTCGGGCTCTTGGTTCAGGTGTGTACCTTTTGTACTAACTTTTTCTCAGAATTGTGAATATCTTGAGCCAACACCTTGGTAACTTCACGCTGGGGAATGGGGTCTGAGGTTTTGATTTTTTTTTTTTTTAATGTTGAACATTTTAGTTGGTGGTTCTTTTCCACCTCCCTACCACTGAAAGGCAGCTCTGACAGCTCCTGCTTAAAGGCAGCACAGAGTTCTAGTATGGTGGGGGTTGGAAGGGACCTCTGGAGATCATCTCCTCCAGCCCCCGTGCTCCAGCAGCTCACCCACAGCAGGGTGCCCAGGGTCACATCCAGGTGGGTTTGGAATCTCTCCAGAGCAGGAGACTCCACAGCCTCTCTGGGCAGCCTGCTCCAGGCTCGGCCACCCTCACACCAAAGAAGTTTCTCCTCCTGCTCAGGTGGAACCTCCTGGGTTCCAGTTGGTGCCTGTTGCCCCTTGTCCTGTCACTGGGCACCACTGACAAGAGTCTGGCCCTAGCCTCTTGCCTCCCACCCTTTTGATACTGAGAAGCTTTGAGAAGATCTTCAACAATATCTGTGTGGTGTCTCACAGTGTTTCAGAACAATCATGAGCCTTCAGGCTCCCAAGGGTGCTGAAGCAGATAGTTAGTGGTTATGTGCAGTTGCAGTCTTTGTTTGCCCTGAGTGACTTGGAGATGAGTTAAATGTCCCACGAGTATGTTTCCACTCTTGTCTGGGGTATTTGCTTTCACACTAAAAGGTGAAAAACCCACCACTAAAACATTGCAACTGTTCCTCGTGCCCTGTCAGTCATCTTGTCTTTCCAGGTCTGATCTGGATCCTATCTGATCCATAGCAATTGAATCACAGCTTGCCTGGAGAAAGGAGGCTCAGGGGAGACCTTCTGGCTCTCCACAGCTCCCTGACAGGAGGCTGGAGCCAGGTGGGGGTCAGGCTCTTCTCCCACGGAACAAGGGACAGGACAAGAGGAACTAGCCTCAAGTTGCACCACAAGAGCTTTAGGTTGTCCCTGAGGAACAATTTGTTGCCCTTGAGGGTTCTCCAGGGCTGTGCCAGGCTGCCCAGGGCAGTGGTGGAGTCCCCACCCCTGGAGGGGTTTCCAAGCCGTGGAGATGTGGTGCTGAGGGACATGGGTTAGTGGGGACCTGGTAGTGTTGGGGGACCAGTTGGACTTAAATCAACTTGAAGGTCTCTTCAAACCAGAATGATTCCACTACACACTCTTGGTTCTTACCCAACTGAATTAAGAGAAATCCATGTTCACAGAATCCTAGCTTGGTATCCACAGGCCTGGACAACCCTCAAGGACAAGAAATTGTTCCTTGTGGCCAACCTCAACCCTCCCTGTTGTAACTTGAGCCAGTTTTCTCTTGTCCTGTCCCTTGTTCCTTGGGAGAAGAGCCTGACCCCACCTGGCTCCAGCCTCCTGTCGGGGAGCTGTGGAGAGCCAGAAGGTCTCCCCTCAGCCTCCTTTGCTCCAGGCTCAACAACCCCTGGCAGAGTTTGACAGCTTGAGGAGTCTGTTCCATTGACTGGTCAATGAGTATGAGAAGGTGGTACCATTACACATCCTTGTATTGAGGTACTTGCTGTCAAGTGCTCTGCCAGTCTTTCTCCATCCTTGGTAGAGCTTGATGCTTAGAGCCACCACCTGATTCTGCAGAGGCTGTGATAACAGAGGACCTTTTTCTTCCCCCCTCCCAGCAATGAAGTCCAAACTGGCCACGCTTGCCAGCGTGCACGTGTACAGCATCCAGAAAGCCCTGCTGAAGGACAGCGGGCCGCTCTACAACACCGACTACGACATCATCAAGTCCAACCTCCACAACTGCACCAAGTGAGTTGCCTTTTGGTCTTGCTGCTGCTGTTGTGTCCTTTGAGACTGAGGAGATGTTGCTACATAGTGCAGTAGGCAGTGGTTGCCAGACATGCCTGGATTTTTAAGAAGCAAGGAAGGGGTTGTCTTCTAAGCCATGCCAGAGCAGTCCCCAGCCAGCACATGGTTTCCAAACCGAGCTATTTCCAGCTTGCACTTGGTTCACTTGCTTTGTTACTCCAAGGGGCAGATGGTTCCAGTACCTTTCTTCTCTCATGGCTAGAAAGCTTGTTGTCCTTTCCAGGCCACATTTCATCATGACCATTTTTATCCAGTCACATAGGAAAAGTAAATTAAAACACACTTAGAAACCCATGAGTGATGTGCTGAGCAAAATGCTAAGATGAGCTTGCCTTCTGATTTGTGAGACTGTTTCATCCACTGAACTCATCCAGCTCTGTGAAGGTATCCTGCTGGAACTTATTCTCCAGATAGAAGATGAGAGCCTGAGGTGTGGGAGGAGCATACAAACCAGGCCAAGCTGCACAAGTGTCATAGAATCATTTAGGTTGGAAAAGATCTTTAAGGTCATTGACTCCAACCATTCCCCAGCACTGCCAGGTCCCTGCTGACCCCTGTCCCTCAGCACCACATCTCCACGGCTTGAAAACCCCTCCAGGGATGGGGACTCCACCACTGCCCTGGGCAGCCTGGCACAGCCCTGCACAACCCTCAAGGGCAACAAATTGTTCCTCAGGGACAACCTAAAGCTCTTGTGGTGCAACTTGAGGCTAGTTCCTCTTGTCCTGTCCCTTGTTCCGTGGGAGAAGAGCCTGACCCCCACCTGGCTCCAGCCTCCTGTCAGGGAGCTGTGGAGAGCCAGAAGGTCTCACCTGAGCCTCCCTTGATTCAGGCTCAACACCCCCAGCTCCCTCAGCTGCTCCTCCCCACACTTGGGCTCTAGACCCTTCCCCAGCAGCTTTGTTGCCCTTCTCTGGCCATGCTCCAGCCCCTCAAGGCCCTTCTGGGAGTGAAGGGCCCAAAACTTATCCCAGGATTCCAGGGGCAGCCTGCCCAATCCAGGGCCGTGATCCCTGCCCTAATGCTGCTGGCCTCAGGAGTGCTTGACCTGAGCCCTTCATGGTTGAACTAGAGAAAGGTTGTCTTGAGTTCAGAGGCACTTCAGTCTCCAGGGCTCATTGTCTCTCTCCTGAGCAGTTCCTGGCAGCTGGGGCTTTTCATTTATATCTTGTTTCCACCATGACAGCTTCAGCTTGCTGGAATCAGGACACACAGTGCCATGACCAGTTTGGTTTAGAAGGGTGATGTCTGAACATGGTGTCATGGACTATAGAATTTTGGAAATAGAAATGTAGCTGCCTTCAAAACGTTGACAAGAGTGGATGAGAAAATAACATCCTAGAAGCTGTGTGGTTCAAGTGTTGGTGCCCTGGTGGGTGGTATAACCTTTGCTCCAGTGGGGACATGTGTGGTAGGTTTGGCTGCAGTTCTGTTCCAGCCTGTCCACTCTCGGACACCTCTGTGTGGTGGTACCTGTGTCTTGAAGGACACTGCTTTTCAGATTTGGACAGCCAGAAGGTTTGGCCAGTTGAGGTTCTGCCTCTGCTTTCTGAAGCCTGTGTGTAAATCCCTGCCTGGCCTTGGAGCAGAGCTCCCCAGGGAAATTATGGAAACTGATCCAGCTTGTTCACTTGTGACCTGGCTGAGCTGAATTCAGATTGACCATATTCCCTCTTGCTTGTTAAATGGATGAACTTTTACACCTGGGATGAGATTTCTGCACTAGAATCAGAGAAGGGTTTTGGTTGAAAGCACCTTTCAAGGTTGTCCACTCCAACCCCCTGCAGGGAGCAGGGACATCTGCAACTAGAGCAGGTTGCTCAGAGCCCCGGCCAACCTCCCCTGGAATGGTTCCAGGGATGGGGCAGCGACCACCTCTCGGGGCAACCTGGGCCAGGGGCTCACCACCCTCACAGTGAAGAATTTCTTCCTTAGAGCTAATCTAAATCTCCTTCTTTTAATTTAAGGCTTTTAACCCATGTCCTATCACTAGAAGCTCTTGTAGGAAGTCCCTGCCTAGTTTTCTTTTAGGCCCTCTTCAGATGCTGGAAAGCTTCAAGAGGATCTCTCTGGAGCCTTCTCTTCTCCGTATTTATTCTCTCTGTATTTATAGCAAACAGAACGTGCTGCCTTCTGCTTCCCTCTCAGTCCAGGTATCTCACAGGCTCTGTGGCAAGAAGCTTTATTCTCTTCTGCGGTTTTGGGACCCATGTTCTGCTATGAAGACACTAGAGGTGGTTCGGTGTTCTACTAAAGCAATTAACTAGATTTGAGGTCAGGTGGCCAAGCAGAAGCAGCTCCTTGCTTGTAGAATCAGAGAATCACTATGGTTGGAAAAGACATCTAGGATCATTAAGTCCAACCTTCATCCCCCATGAGTCGAACATCTCCCTAACCATTAGACCATAGCCTCAAGTGCTACATCTACTCATTTTTTTTAAACTCTCCAGGGATGGTGACTCCACCACCTCCCTGGGCAGCCTGTTCCAGTGCCTCACCACTCTCTCAGTGAAGAAATTCTTCCTAATATCTAATCAAAAACTTCCCTTGGTGCAATTTGAGGCCAGCTAGAGCTCAGTGCAAGCATTGCTTGTTTATTCTGTGAGTATTCAGTGAGTTTGGGGTCAAGCCCATGAGCTCCAGTCACATGTTAGCAGCATTAAGGGAAGCACCTGGGATGTGTGAGGGATTTTTGTTGTCCAAAAAAATGGACTGGTTACAAGGGGGTGTAGTGACAGGATGAGGGGCAATGATGGTTTGAAACTTGAGCAGGGGAGGTTTAGGTGAGACATTAGGAGGAAGTTCTTGACTCTGAGGGTGATGAGCCCCTGGCCCAAGTTGCCCTGGGAGGTGGTCACTGCCCCATCCCTGGAACCATTCCAGGGGAGGTTGGCCGGGGCTCTGAGCAACCTGCTCTAGTTGCAGATGTCCCTGCTCCCTGCAGGGGGGTTGGACTGGATGACCTTGAAAGGTCCTTTCCCAAAGCACTGTGGTTCTATTCAGTGAACTCTGAGCTTTTTTGGCATTTGCAGGGTGTGACAGGTTCAGATGAGCTTTGTGGCAGATATCTCCACTCTGGTTCTGTGCCAGCCTTTCTCTCTTGTCCCATGCAGAAATTAAATTGCTCTGTTTGTCTGTTTGTTGGTTTACTTCTCCCCATAACAGCAGAACCCAAGAGCAGCGAACCGACCGGGGAGGAACCCGAGGCTAAGGAAAGAACAATCAAAAGGCTGACTGAGTGTTTTGACTCCCTCCCCCAGGTTCAGCGCCATCCGCTGTGCC